ATTTCCTCGCTTGATTTTCTTCGTGGTTTCATTGAAGTAAGAATTAATTTACGTTTTTCGGAGGCGGCGATGAACGCCTCTCGAGTGGAACGGAAGAAGGCTGGACAAAGATGTACAGTACCTGTATTTGCTGAGACTGTGAAAACCATTAATAAAGTCTGCGTTTAAAAAAAATAAATAAAACCACAACCAAAGCTCTCCTTTTTTCAACAAATACAGGTGCGTCTTCGTCCGTCTCCTTCCCTTATTTTCTTCCGGTCAACTCGAGAGGCGTTTATGACCGCCTCTGAAAAACGCATTGGCATTTCCTTTATCGTAGCTCCAACAGTACGATCAGACAAGATAAGAAAACCTTTCATAGTCTCACAATGGAGAAATTCCCACTTCACAGCAGCAAAGTTATGAGAGGAAGAAGTAGAAGAACAAAATAAATAAGAGCTGCTGGAAAGGCAGCTACTCTCGCGGCGCCATCTTGAAGTCAAAATAACACAACAAGATGTCAGTCGTAGTTATTTATTCCTTTGTTGTGTATTCACAAATGATGAAATCACAATATAAATTCTCTAGGGGGGGCTATAGAATTTATTTTGTGATCCTCGCTTGCTTTTCAGTTTTGATGTATTATTTTCAATTTTTGTAGTTTCATTGAAGTAATCGTTAGTTTACGTTTTTCGGAGGCGGTCTTGAACGCCCTCGAGTGGAACGGAAGAAGGCACGGAGACAGACAAAGACATACCTGTATTTGTTGAGACTGTTTTGAAAAAATTAACACCACACCCTTTTTTCGGAGCTGCAACACAAACTTATTTAATAAAGCAGCGACACAGTTCACTGAACCAACAGCAAGTTATAACATTGGAAGCATGTCTCCAGGAAGGAGCCATCTTGGAGTCGACGTATTACTGTAATGACCATACAAAAGATGCACCTATATATATATATATATTTAGCCCCGTTTTTTTAATGAACTGTCAGAATGACGTTATAATTTTGACCAGTAGCCAAACAACTGCAGAAGTTGTGACATGTATTAATATTATAATTTCCCCTCTTTTAAAACGTCACTAAAAACCCACCTTGTAGGCCTAAAAATACAGAAACAAACATTCATAGTCGCCTCATTGTGAAGGCCATCCCTTGGCCGCGCTCTGGCCTTTAAACATTTGATCAGGCTAAGTGCAATTGGATGTTTCCTATTTGAATTTCAAGTCGAGTTTCTCCAAACCCTTAGGCAAGGACTGTCGTTAGTCATCCCGTCAATTCTTTTTGCGCCATCACTGTTGTAAGCATCCGAGTGTGTGGCGACATCGTTCATGGATAAGGACAAATGGGCTGATGTGTCTTGTGTTGCCTAAGGGGCTGTCTTCTATTAAATTCGCTTCCCGTTCTTTCCGCACTGATCACATTAGCCTGATTGCTCTGTTCTGTACAGTTAAACGCATTTCCCGTAACACATTCGGAGCATAGTTCCTACAACACCTGCTGGGATTTCACCAGTGGTGGGAAATGAGTCATTCAAAATATTTTTGTGCAATAGCCCAGACTTTTATAAGAGTTTAATTTGGCTTGCCAGGCTCCCATTAATAACAGACCTAAAAACGGCTATTCTTTACCCAACCTAGCAATGTTTCCTTCTTACCCGGTGCATGCATATCAACAAGTGAGTCAAATTTGAGCATTTCCTCTTTTCCGATCAAAGTCAACGAAGGCCATATTCTTGGAAGTCTCTTAAAAAAAGAAAACAAAAAATACCCAAAGCCATGCACTCATGGTGTTTCTGTGGCTCCTCTTACTGAGAAAACCATTGAGGCTGATTATCATAAAATGTGAATATTTTTATTGGCAAATCCTCATGTGTGGTCAACACGGACTTGGGCCAAGCCACGGACTCTGTGACTGTGACCTAAATCGGAACGATAGCCAATTGGGAAGCTCTTGTTGCAAATCTTTTAAGCTATTCACCACAAAAAAAAAAAAATTGACAAGTAGTTATCACCGCACTGTTATTACCAGGTAAGCTAACAGTTAGCTTATCATCTTTGTTTCCTTCTTGTACCACTGCAGCACCTTGCTGCCTTTGACTAAGATTGTGTCCAGTCTGCCATGTTGGTGATCTCCAATACATTTCACACTACAATAGCAGTAAGCACAACCGCATTTATTAAAAAAACAAAAAAAAAACAAAACCCTTGAGGATTGTTATGTGTCACCTGCCTTTTAACATTGTTGAGTAACGAGCACAGCAGCCTAATGTAATAAATCCAACTGCACGTCTTGAAATTGTTAATCTGTTATTTTTCTTCCCGCAGATAAGGATACCATTAGTAAAATCCGTGACCTACGGATGAAAGCGGAAGACTATGAGGTGGTCAAAGTCATTGGGAGAGGTGCATTTGGGGAGGTGCAGCTGGTAAATTGACATTCTTATTCACCTCTTTGACTACACAGTGGAACCTCAAAATGTTGACATGGTACAATTTGGCTGTATACCTGAAATAAACCAAAATAATGATTCAAAAGTCAAAAACTGAAAAGTAGGATGATAATTGAGCAGGAAATGGAAGGTTTTACAACATGGGAATCAAGTCAAGTGAACTACAACTTTATTGTCAAATGCACTGAATGTGCAACATACAGCACAGATGAAATTTCTTCCCTCTCAACCAGAAAACGAGTGGAATGGATCTGGATGCCCATATTGTATATGAGCAATATTGGGATGTGCAATGTGCATCTCTCAACAAAAGATAAGATATGCAGGTTATGAAACAATTCAAGGATGGTTTGATTTGAACGTGGAACGATTAAATTTGGTTTGACTGTAGGATTATGATTTGATTCAATATGGTAGTATGGTATGGTAGTTGAGAGTGTATGATGCAATGACACTTATTTTACATTCATTTGAATGAATTTGTCAATACTGTAAATCAGGGATGCCCAACCTTTTTGACCCAAGATCTACTTTCGATCAACCAACCTACAGCGATCGACCCGTTAACCCACGCCCTTACACACGCACGCATGACATGATGAACAACAGCCATAACAGCCCCTAAGATGAACTAAACAGAAAAATAAAGTCGACACAAAAGTTTGTGAAAAGAAAATCACTGCCTACCTTCGTCGAGACCTGACGCGAAGGCATGGGACGCACTTTTGCCACGTGTTAACGATCGTAGCCCACGTGGACCATTTTAAAATGCTTTTGCCGGCCCTCTAGATTCCCATTCTTTGCCAGTGCCCTCGGTGCATTGTGCATGAAACCAACGCTGAATGAGAATAATAAGAACAATAAAAGAGAGAGCGCAACAGCTCTGATCACAAGCTGCAATTGCTGGCCGCTAGAAACATCCGGTGATGCAGAGGTCATGCGGCATTGTCGGTTAAAGGTGACCTGCTTTTTTAATTTAATTTTATTTTTATGATCGATTTGGGACCAGTCCGCGAGCTACCCGTCCATCGCGATTGACGTATTGGGCTCCCCTGTTGTAAATGTACCGGATCCTTCCAAGATAAGTAAAAGACATATCACAATTAGATTTCAAAAAGGAATGATGCAATTGGGTTTGGTTCGATACATGTGCATCTTTTTCATGAGATGTGCCGACTTCGGTTCTCAGTTTTTTGTTTTTTTTTCCCTTCCACGTGTTATTATAAGAAAAGTGAAAATATGCGGAATGGGATGTTCTGAATGAGCTGAACATTTTGAAGTTGAAGTGGTTTGAATCGGTTAAGAAAATTTAAAGTTTTGGAAATCAAAAATGTAAACAAGTCATAGAATTGTGGTGCACACTGTTTTGTTTTTTTCCCCCTGATGCATCATGTTCAACTTTGGAAGTTACACAGAAAGATGATTTTACATTGTGCCGCTATGAAACTTTTTTTTTTTTTTTTTTTTTTTTGGGGTTTTTTTTTTTAAGTTTTTTTTTTTTTTTTTTTTTTTTGGTGTGATTTTTAACTTCACCCCTTATATCTTCACCAGGTGAGGCACAAAGCCACATGCAAAGTGTATGCCATGAAGTTGCTGAGCAAGTTTGAGATGATCAAAAGGTCAGACTCTGCTTTCTTTTGGGAGGAGAGGGACATCATGGCTTTTGCCAACAGCTCCTGGGTCGTGCAGGTAGGTCCCGACTGCCCAACACCACTTGTTTATACCCGCTCGCTGGCAAAAATAAGCATTCTCTCACACAAGCTCACATTTCGTCCATCTTTCAGCTTTTCTTCGCGTTCCAAGATGACCGCTACCTCTACATGGTGATGGAATACATGCCCGGTGGGGACTTGGTCAACCTCATGAGCAATTACGACGTCCCGGAGAAGTGGGCTCGCTTTTATACAGCCGAGGTGGTGCTGGCGCTGGATGGTATCCATGCCATGGGCTTCATTCATAGGTATCGACAGCTCTTGGTCTTTATTTTCCATCAACGATAGAAATTATGATGAACGACAGCATTTCGAAGCATTGTATATATATCGGAAAGAACAGTCATTGGTTGAAGTTTGCAGCATTAGCAGGTTGTGAAATCAAAAGCTATTTCGATCAAACACATCTTCAAGGTCAAGGAACATTTTAATGGAAGACAAGAGGCACAAGTGAATTTGAGTGTCTGACCTTATGTTGTATATGAGTACTACTGATGGTGTTCCGTTATTTTGGCACAGCGTCTGTCCCAATGTTTTACATTCCATTAGACTCTGACTTACCACTCCAGTGTTGTGCCTTTTTATTTTTACCGTGAGCTCCACCACTGCACAGTATACTATTTTTGGGAAACGAGGACCAAGCCCAATGTTGTTAATCATCAATTCTTTGCAAATTCCACAAATAATTGGCACTCCCTTTGACGTGATTATAATTACCCATAATAATAGTTTAAGCCACTGCTTTGTTATCCTCACAATGAGAGGCGGTACGAGAGGGTGGCTACGTGTTGAGCAATTCGGATTCTCGCCCTTGTAATGACAGTAAAAGTGTAGGTTGTATTTTCGCTCTTGGAGGCAGCGCTTAATCCCCAGGCTGCTGAATTACACTTGTCAATTAGTGTGCGGATCTATGTAAGATACGGCTGCAGTGGACACTTGGTCAAAAACATTTACTTTTTCGTCAAACACAAATACCTTTGTGACTCGAATGGTGGTTAGGCACTGCAGATACTCAACTGTTGGAATACAAACAATGAAAACACCCACTTTTCACACGATGCCCCCTTTAAATAAACATTTATTTTGCAGGGATGTGAAGCCTGACAATATGTTGTTGGACAAAGCGGGCCACTTAAAACTGGCAGATTTTGGCACCTGCATGAAAATGAACAAGGTATTGAATTTGTGTCCTTCTGAATCATGCACTGGATTTATTTTGCAAAGAAACCTGTTAAATATGTGCCGCTTGGTCTTTTAGGATGGTATGGTACGATGCGACACGGCGGTAGGAACACCGGACTACATTTCACCTGAGGTACTGAAATCCCAAGGAGGAGATGGCTACTATGGCAGGGAGTGCGACTGGTGGTCGGTGGGAGTGTTCCTGTATGAAATGCTAGTTGGTGAGTCACTGTGATGGATACAGCATGGAGTAGTGACACCAAGAAGGATACCCATAGCATTTTTTAATTGTAATTTACCAATTTGCTCTTTCAGGCGACACGCCGTTTTACGCAGACTCTCTGGTCGGCACCTACAGCAAAATAATGAACCACAAAAACGCGCTGACCTTCCCCGATGACAGCGACATCTCCAATGATGCCAAGAACCTCATCTGTGCCTTCCTGACGGACAGGTACTGTCCCAGAGCACCCGGGAGCGGGACGCAGTTCTGAGACAATTAGGCACACATCCCTCCCTGTTTACGTTCATGGAATACATAAAAAGTCCAATTTCAAGCCGCCCAATTTCAAGCTTCAACACTGACAATATGGAAAGCAATAATACATAAAACAAAAGGTCTCTTCCCACCATTGATTTTAATAACGGTAATCTCTGTATTTCTTACATGCCGTGGGAAACTATTTTGCGAGCTAGTTTTGGAGACATTTTAAACATTAGGGCGTTTTGGCAAGATATAGGATTCCAAGCTTTTTTTTTGTTATTCACACTACCATGACTGTAGCAATTGAGGGCAAAAGATGTCAATGGTATTATTTGAATCGTGCTCTGTAAATCTAGCCTAAGGTCTAACTGGGACCGAACAATGTCAACAGGGAGGTCCGCCTAGGCCGGAACGGTGTGGATGAGATCAAGAGGCACCCTTTCTTCAAGAATGATCAGTGGACGTGGGAGAACATCAGAGACAGTAAGGACTATCATTACCACTTATAACGTACACTCGGTCTTCAGACTGATCATTGACAGCGCATAGGCCAATCAAGGGCAGACAAAACATTAACTGACACCAGAGCAGGCGGAGATTCGAACTGTAGCAAATCCTGCAGCTGTTGTGCACTCTGAACTGGGTTTATATTTAATTCTTGAATCAGCTAAAGTCAGCACTTTGCCGCAGCTTTTCTGAAAGGCTGACCGGCTTTGCTCCCCGCCGGAGGATTTATTTATTTATTTTTTCACATTGAGATTTATGAACCAGGACCGAAGGGTTGCAAAATTCAAACAAACATTTACCTATTGTGTCTGAGCTCTTGGGGTGTATATAAAAAAAAAAAAATATTGGTATTGGCCTTGGTTTGAAAGTCTCTTGTTCACATATCGGGTACAATGTTAACAAGCAGAAAAAAACTAGTGCTGCGGAACTAATTGACTGTTTAAATGAAACAAACTATTAGCTTTACATTCTCAAATAAATTAAATCTTTTCAAACAAATGTGAAGGAAAAACAAGGAATAATAGATAACCTTAAATATTTTCTTTGTATTAAAGTGCAACATCAATTTGTTATTTTCATAACTATGCAGCTAAGTGCAACAGTAACAGTTTAAATTATTATGGTGTGGGAACTCTGTACGCCTCCGTAGCGTACTGAATGTACCTTGTACATCGAACGTTAGCTTACTTTAGACAAACAGCAAAAGAAAGAGTCCTGAATCTTCTGTCTTTTTAGCGGCTGCCCCAGTGGTGCCCGAGCTGAGCAGTGATGTTGACACCAGTAACTTTGATGACATAGAAGAGGACCGTGGCGAAGAAGAGACTTTTCCAATACCAAAGGCCTTTGTGGGCAACCAGCTGCCCTTTGTGGGCTTCACTTACTACAGCAATCAGCAGTAAGTCCTCCAGAGGCTTCTTACTTTACATGTATTACAAATACTGTGCATCAGGACAAGCATTAACTTGTATTAATTGCGGAATGTGTTTTGCTTTGAAGTCCTCTGCGCAGCTCCACTTCTGCCTCAAAGGCAAGTGACAAACGTAGCAGCTCCACAAAGGAGGACAAAAGTCATGTAAGTTGCGCAGCTATGCTTGTATGTACTCCATCTCCAACATTCTATGACGTGTATTTATCCGTTTAGTTGGAGAACCTGCAGAAAAGAGTCTACCAGCTGGAAGAGCAGCTCCACAGTGAGATGCAGCTGAAGGATGAGTTGGAGCAAAAATGCAGGTGAGTCTCAATGGTTTTTGCCCAGGTTACATAACTACAGTCGCACTTTGACTTGGGAGTACCCCACTTGGTTTATTTAAAAAAAAAAAAAAAAAAAAAAAAAAAGGGTTGTTGCGGCTACCGGGAAGACTG